GCGAAGATATCTCGATAACTATCTGACCAAATTCGATAAAACTTTTTTTATTTGAATTCTATGGATTCATAGAATTCTAATAAAAAAAATTTCATCGTATTTAATCAAGTGTTTGTAGAGATATCTTCGCTCAAAGAAAAAATCAAAATGCGTATCAAAATTTTGGCTTTGTATTTTCGATCCTAAGATTAGCAATTTCTTCTATGATCTGTTTTAATTTGGTATTTTCTACCTCAAGTTTGGCAACTCGCTGTCTTAATATTTCAAGCTCCGATGACATGTTTGATAATAATTTTTATATAAGATACATATTTATTCAAAATTTCGAATTAATAAAAATTATGTGCGCGTTCTGTTTCGGAACGCCGATACTTTGCCAAGAAAAATTTATCGATCGTATGTATACATCGATACCAGTACAATGTAAATACACGTAAAAGTAAACTGATTATGTACGCACTGAAGTTAGCCACCAGGGCTAGTTTTATTTCTTTGTAACAATAAAATTTTATCTCGCTATAATCCAGTCGCATCAAATAAGAGAGCAAAAGTCAAAAATTTTAGCAATCTTTTTATCATATATTTATTTCAATGCTAGATCGTCTATGGAGTTGGGAAAGATGTAAAATCTTGAATAGTTAATGTCGGTAAATCATACACATGTTGAATTGTTGGTTCTTGACGTGATCTATTTATAATTTGATCTACATTACCCATTTTTTCTATTGTTTCTATAAAACCTAAATGAACTTCCAAAGATTGTGAACAAAATATGAAACAGAAATTCTGTCTACGGGTAATTTATAAGGTATTGGAATATTGAAAAGTTCACGAACACGACACAATGGAGGAGCAGGTTGGTCCAAAATACAAATACGAAGATTTGTTCCTATTTAAAAAAATGAAAAATGAGTATATTTGTTGCTTCACCTGATTGAAAGAAAGCATTACTAAGTATGCTTCATGTTGTAAAATCAGGATTAAAACCCACCCGCAAATTATCGATCCTAAAAAGTGAAAAATCGCGTTTCAGGTTTATCTTTCTCTTTTCAGGTAAAATCTTCCAGAACTTATAAATAAAATGTATAATTAAATTTACTACAATATTTGTTACGTCGAACTAAGAGTTCATCACTGTGGAACTAAGGGTTACAGCTTGCGCTCAAGCGTCGAACTAAGAGTTTCATAGCTGTGGGCTAGGTCCGCCTCTGGAACTATGAGTTCCCAGCTTGCGCTTGAAATGGAGAACTAAGAGTTCTTAACTGCAACTAAGAGTTGTCAGCTTTCCATAGACGCACTAAAGTTCCTATCTTAACATAGGCTTACCTTCCAGTGGTCGAGAATTTTCTGTGCCATGTTCCTCTGTTTCTCGTCAAATTCAGACTTCGAATTCGCCACATTTGTTAGATCTTTTTTAATATTATCTAATATATAGCACCAATTCTTTTTTTCTGATTTCTCACGATAATGTTCTACTAACTTATCACACGTCCAATCTTCAATGTCGATAATTTTATAAGAATCTACTAAATTCAAAGACGTGCTAAAAAAAATGCGATTTCGATTATGTGGAATTTTATTAGAGAACCAGTTCAATTGATTGGCACATTATATATCATCATCACTCTTTTCTCGATGGGAACATTTTGTCAAGAAAACGTGTAAGCATTACTTGATTCATTCATCACGGGAGAGTAAATGAGCATGCTAAAAAGCCATTTTTAGAATGTGACTTATTTTCAACAATTTATGTCTTTTCAAAACCTGCTTTATTTAACCTTAAATAGAAATTTTGCATTAATGATGTGGAATTTCTATGACCTTCTATTTCTATAAATAAAATTGTTTATACGCATAACGATAGGTGATACAGGTAAATTTATGCGTATCCGGAACTATTCTAACACATGTTTCATTCAAAAGAGCGGTAGCATAACGTATTATATGGGCCTGATTTATTGAAGATTTATTCTGCACTATTATGTAAGAAGGATATAATGAATATACATCAAACCCCACCATGGGTTTACTAATTCCCCCATACTTCCCATTGGACGAATACAAATATCATTTTCTATTGGACGAAACCAATTACATCATTGATCGGGGTGGCTAAAATTTTACGTAACCATCTAATGCGTCGCAATTAAAGAATAAATT